AGAAAATGGGTAACAGCTTACAATGTAGCTCTTTGATTGATTGAGGTCGTGTTCTCGAAGAGGACCCGAATGTAATATAGAGAAGGCAATCCAGTAGGAAACCTTAACCCAAACCATGTAGAGTTTTAAAGGTAACAACTACCACTTTGTACCTTGCCTAGAAACTAATTGCCAGCTAGTGGAATGATTTTAATATTGACGTAAGCACATGTGATGCAGGGGGAGGCAGTTGAATCCGCCCACCCCCATGAAAGAGGCCAGCTTTGGTAGGTGCTGGTTGGCTTCACTGGCCCCAAACAACTCAGTTAATCCACTGGGCCTTCCCAATGTGGCCCACAACATTAAGTGATATTAAATAAATCACATGGCAAGGGGTAGAGCTAAGATTAGGGGTAGAGCTGAGACTATTTGAGGCCAGACAACCTCTCTAGTAACCAGCACTTTGTACCTTGCCTAGAAACGAATTGGCAGCTAGTGGAATGATTTTAATATTAATGCAAACAGCAAGGATAGCAGTATTTTCGATAGAAGGTTTAACTCTGCATGAAAAATGTTGAACTCCTCAGAATTCTTGCAAGTAATGAACTCTCACAAGTGATTCCTCCTACGTTGAATCTGAAGAAGTGAATTGATATCCAAGAAAGTGCATGCTAAAAGTAAAAAAAAAAAACCACTCTTAAAGGTGCTGCTAGATTTTTTCTTTTCTCTCTCTCTCTCCTTTTTCCAAACAATGAAATCACCTAGCTTTTCATGAAGATTGGAAATATACATCACTAAGTGTTAAAATTCACCTTGGATTTGAGTGTCGCTAAAATACACAGGTAAAAAAACATTTAGCTCTATAGACTGTTTCACTTACAAATATTATGGGGTCACTGTCATTGCAATAAAACCTTGTCTTAAACAGCATTCCAATTGCAAACAGAGGAATAATTTCATTGCAGTTAAATATGTGTACTTTTAAGAAACAGGGAAAACTGATCTCCCTGCCTCTTGCTTCACTCTTCTAAGCATACTATGTGATCAGTGCATCTCTTCTGACTTAGATGTACCCATCATATGACACCTAGTTCAGAAACTTGCTGTATCCCATCAAATGGCATACATCTACTTCTGGCGAGGCTCCATCCCTGTACTGTGGTGAAGTTGTTGTAAGAGGGAGCAACGATAACAAGGAAGGCTTCTTGTCTTCTTGTTGCCTGCAGTGGGATGAGCAAAAGGGGAAGCCGGGCAGTGACACTTTCCCATGTGGGATGGGGACAGCATTGCTGCTGGTGGGGCTCAGGGTGACATATTTCCCTGCTACCTGCCAGAGTCACCATGCTGCCTGGCAAATCTCTCCACTGTTGCCCACATCGGGCAACTGAATGTGAGGAAGTCCCTACTAAAAATCCCTTCACCAGCCACTTGTGGTAGTTTAAGAGAATGATGGTGATATTTCTGGTTTTCCTTCTAGCCAGGAATAGCAAATACTATTTTATTCCAAATGAAAAATATATAGGTTCAACCTGGTGTGGCACACAAGTTATACCTGCCATACTTAGATGTAGTTTGCAAATTACAAAACCTTCATACTTGGCAAGCAAACTGCAGGGGTGTTTTTCTGTATTGTGGTGCAAAGGAGGACTATCCCCACTGAAATTAGGCACACTTGCAGTGTGAGGTATTACTGCTGTAATCTTATGACTTGTTTGTTCATCTGATAACATCTTGACTGATAACATCTTGAATGCTACCTTAGGCTCTTTACTAAATCATTTTTTGAATTGTCTTTATTGCTTTATTACTTGTTTAAGGAGCAGATTAAAGAGCTGGGCATGTTTCGCCTGCAGAAAGAAGGCTGAGAAAAGACATGATTAATTAATTAATTAATTAATTAATTAATAGATGATAGCCATATATATTGTATAAATATGTGAAGGGAAGTCATAGGGAGGAAGGAGCAAACATGTTTTCTGCTGTCCTGGAGACTAGGACCCAGAACAATGATTTCAAACTACAGGAAAGGAGATTCTACCTGAACATTAGGAAGAACTACCTAATTGTGAGAGCTGTTCAGCAGTGGAAGTCTCTGCCCCAAACTGTGGTAGAGACTCCTTCTTTGGAGGCTTTTAAACAGAGGCTGGATAGCCATCTGTCGAGGGTGCTCTGAATACGATTTTCTTGCTTCTTGGCAGGGGTTGGACTGGATGGCCCATGAAGTCTCTTCCAACTCTATGATTCTATGTTTCAGTCACATGTAGAAATTGGCTTCAATTAATCCATTTATATTTGGTTATAAACTTCTTTGGGTGTTTTTTTTAAATTAAACTTGGTGTATAATTGTTTTGTACAACTATTGCATTAAATAACTGTGGGAACTTGTTGCCATGGGGCTTCATGGTCAAAATAAGCTACGAACAGTGCTTGGGCTTGGTGTGCCTGCTCTCTATCAATGATGCTTTGTAAAATATCTTTAAAAAGTTACTTTTTGGATTCTGCAGCTATGTTGGTTGACAGATTCTGATGAGAGTATGTATTGTTATTTATTAATTTATTATTTCATCATTCTCCCAATAAGGGACCTAAGGTGGTAGTCACAAACCTCTGCTTGCTGGCCATTAAGAGCCCTGGAGATGCATCATCACATGGTAATAAGGATTTGTAGTAAAAATTTAATTATTTACCTATTTTCTTCTCAAAGGATGTAATGAGTACTTTAACTTTTTTCTTACCATTGCATACATTTTTTCAAAACTGTAGGGTTTTTGAAGATTATTCACAATTCTGGTCTTATTCTGTGCAATTTTATATGTGGTTCTTTTGCATAGAAAAATAACCTTTTCCATGTGACAGTAGCATTTTCAGCAGAAAATATTACATTTCTGTGCCGATTACTATTTTCTGTGCCAAAATTATGGATTTTTGCACAGAAAATCCTATCTTCTGGACAAAACAGGCATTTGGAAATTTTGTATAGGAATAAGTTCAAAAGTCCAGAGATTCTTGTTAGTACAGGATTTTCTCATTAGAGTTTCTCAACTCTTGGAAAATCGGATTTCAGCCATTTTTGAAATGTTTTCAAGTATTCTTTTCAATCATTAATTTGCAGGCAGTATAGGAAGGGCACAGAATCTGACACTAAAGGGCAGTTTTGTATTAAAAACATTCTTCCTTTAGTTAGATTTAAATAAAAGGAAATTTAAAGTATGACTTCCTTATTTCAGTTTGTATGTAAGGATAGCAGATATTTTGTATTTCAGAGTGTAACCACAATAGTTTCCCTTCTGGCAATAAGAACCACAGGCAACTAAAGCTGACAGTACTCAGCTGAAATCAATGTCAATATGTCTTTTAAACCAAAATCTGCCACAATTCTGATGGGATTTGAACATTCATATTTGAAAGTATTTCTCTGTGTTCTGTCAGGGTAACAGGAATGCACTATAGTTCAGCTTCCCAAGGTGATGAAAAAGAAATATTAAAGGTTGCCTTTCCATCTTCTAATGAATGGTAGTAATTGTTCATTTTTGTTCATTTTTACATTATCTAGTTAAGAGAAACTGAGAAGATAAATTTTAATCAACTTAAAAAAGATATTTATCTCCATTAATATTTTGACAAAGCACCAATGTATGTAAATTGAATTGATTAAAAGCAATTATCCATTTAAAAAAATAGTTGGTTGACAGCCATTTTATAAACCCTCCTTTCTATATACAGTAGCAATATGCCTCGATGATGAAATAGCCATGTAATAATTGGTCCATGCTTTCTCTTGTGTGTAGTATTATTTAAAGGAATCAGAATTAATTGTTTGCATTTCCTTTGGCTTTCAAAGTGTTGTGCAAAGCAATGTCTTCTAAATAGACTACAGCTGTATTACAATTATAGCATTAGCCTAACAAATCAGTAGTCATTTGTGATTATAAGAAGACAGGAGATAATAATTCATACTAGGAATTATTGCCCTTGCTGAAATTTAGTTGTCTATGTATGTGTGTGTGTATATATAATCCTCTCATCTTTCAAAGAAATCAAAGATGAGAGGATAAAATGAAGATTACAAGCAAGTACCTGATAATCAGCAATGAGCCGATGTGTTGTGACTTGCTCAGCTCACATATCTTTGCTTGTAAATTCTTTTAACAGGCAGATTCTCGCATTAATATGTTTCCTGACCTTCCAGTCTGGGCTCGTTTGCTGTCTAAAATATCCTGGCAGCTATTCAGTTTTCTGTTCGCAGCTTGCGTTGCATTATCATCCCTGTAGCAGATCTAGTTATAAAACAGACACACAATACAAGCCCCCTCCCATTTAGAGATATTTATTCTTGTATCATTTCCCCCCAGATTTTCCAGAATACCATCATGTTCGTGTTCTGAAGGTTAATGCCCAAAGTCAAGCAGGCAGAAGCCAAGTGCTGCAAGGTTTTCCAAGATTAGGACCGATTTCTTTCGCAGAAATAAATGATTCCTGCCATGTGCAGTGATTTTGTGCAGCACTACTCACGGCTGAGTGAGTGCATCAATACTGTAGCCCTTACATGCTGTACATACTGATGACACTGTGTTAACTTGATTGACTGAGCAGCGTTCGGGCGACGATGCACCTGCAAGAGATATACAGAGACACATTTTTAGTCTGGGTTTGAAAATATTTATTTTCCTTGGAAGTATTAGCATCCATTTCTGTGGGTTCCCACGTATCAGCTGCTAAGGTAGAGCATAGAGCAATGTGTGCTTCTTTGTTGTCAAATTTGTTCTAGGATTTTTTTTTTAAAAAAGAACCATCTCCCTTATCCCTATACGTGTGTATCTATGTGTTGTTTTCTGCGTGTCTCTATGTAAAATGTGTAAGTCAAATGGCATGAAAAGGAGGTAATGTGAAAGCTGGCAAATTTGTAAGTGAATAACAGTATTTATCTTAAGCATCAGTTGAAAGATTGGTGGATGTTTTGTGCTGTTCACTCATCAGAAGCATTTTGTGTTATATTTTTTCTATTTTGTTGTTCTTTGTAGGCTTTGAGACAGCAGCAGAAAAGAAGAAATGGAGTCTCAATGATGGTAAACAAGACTGTTCCTCGTGTTGTTTTGACACCATTAAAGGTGTCTGATGAGCAGTCAGATTCACCTTCAGGTAAATAGCTTAAAGACTGCCGGCAAGTAGAGTTTATAGGGAAAGTGCCCTCCCTGTGGGTGAGAGCTGCAGCGAACAAAATTAGGATGGGTGAAAATAATGGTGCTGTTTCCAATGTCCTAGAATTTTCTTATTGCTTGACCAATTGTATTAATGTAAAGAGGAAAGAATTTAAATCTGGTCTTTTAAGCTGGGTGGGTTTTTTTTAAAGTCAATATTCCTAGAGCTGTTATAAAGAAATGCAAAATATTGCTTGAAATGCTGATTCCTAATGGGACAACTAGAGACTGACATGCAGTGTCATCAGGGGGCAAAATGAATCACCATCACAGCTCCTCTGGGAATATAAATGACTCTCTGGATTGTATCTTACAGTACTAGTTGTCCTTTTAAATAAGATTTTGTGTTCTGGCTCCATCCTAATCATCACAGTGTAACCCTGACCTTTAGTGGCTGTTAAATTCTTCACAGTAGATATATTGTACTGAAATCTGTGTCACTTTTTATTGTAGATTTTTCTCTCCACACATGGGAGAAAATTAATTTTACAAAGGGAGGACATTCCCGTCTTTCTTTCTTCCCTTTCTGTTTTTTTCTTTGTCCCTACAGAATGGGAACTTGATCATTTTTTTAAAGATGTCCTTCAGCTACCAGAGAAGTGTGTTATTTGTATTGGATTAGCAAACATCTTTATTGACTGCTACGTTCAAGAAACTTGTTTTCACCACTTAATGGATTTATGAGCCTTTGCTTCATCACGTTCAGTGACAGGGAATCAAATTGTCAAGCAGAAGGCATTAGCTTTAAATAGAGTAGTTGGTGAAGATACCACTCTCGATTTAACAACGAGCAAAATAAAACATCTCGTTTTTCTTTTTGTTTTATTTTTCCCAAGTGGGGAAGCACTTCAGTATAACATTTGTTTTTTAAAGGGTCTGAATCTAAAAATGGTGAAGCAGACAGTTCTGATAAAGAAATGAAACATGGGCAAAAGTCTCCAACTGGAAAACAAATGAGCCAGCACTTAAAGAGATTAAAAAAATCTGGCTTAGGTGAGTAGGTTTCTCAAATGTCCTCTCTCTCTCTCTCTTTTTGTCACTTCATTACTTTAGATTATAGAATCTATATATAATATATTTATATACATACTTCAAACATGCTATAGAAAGTTTTTATATTGTCTTTCTGATGTTTTTTTAAAAAATATTTCAAGTGCTTAAATCCCTTTCTTGGCTGTTTTCTTTGTCCTTCTGAACTCTGCAGGGGTGCCCCCTTATTGGGACCTTTCCCCAGCATGCTTTTCTGCTCTTGACCTTTTCCGTCTAACAGACCCGAGCTATCTTAAATTGTTCATTTTGCAGCCAGCAGTTTCTTGCTTCATCTTTTTCTAAGAGAAACATATCCTTGCCTCCTATTATATTTCTACATATTCCTCAAAGGAATAACATGTTACATATTTTTTGTCAGTGAAACACTTAATGTTGTTGTCTCGCTTTCTCATTACATATTGAGACATGGTATCTGAGTTTTGAAACAATTTTTAGAACAAATATTTTATTCTATTCCTAGTTTTAGTTTTGTATTTTTATTTTTTATTTTTTAGCAAAACTGATAACTATTTAACTACTTATCCTTTTTAAAGCAATGGCCACCTTGATTCTTTTGGCTTGTTTGTAGCAATCTAATGGAGTGATCATATCAGACTAGTGAAAAATGAACTCATAACAACCTACTTTATTCTTTTGAAAATCAATTTTCTGTTTATATCACCTTCCCTTTTTTGGGTTGGTTCTGAATTATGCACTCAACATATCTCTCTGTTTCATAACGAACATATGTTTTGCTTTATAATTAAACCTGGTTTTAACAATTCATCAAGTACAATTCATTAAAGTACCAAATGTTCTCTCAGTTCATCTGGATAAAATTCAGTCATTAGTTTTTGCAGCAAAGGTCTTTATAGCCCATAATCAATATTCGGAGTGTGACTGATTCACTACTGAGCTCAAGTGGAGTTGCTTTGCCCTGGGATTCTCAAGAAGGGGCTGTAAATGAAATGCAGGGTGAGGGAAGGGGTTAACTTTTTCTGTAGCAATGTTGAGATGCTTCAAATATTTTCAGGGTTTTTTCTAGCCTACCTTAAATCTCCACTAAAAGTCCAGAATGAAGGTCATATAAAATTGTGTTCAGTGTTCATTGTTATTTTGTCTCCCAACAGTATATTATATTAATCTATTATTTTGTGTGTGAAAAAAAATTAAAAAGACATGCTATCTGAAAAGTTCTATAAGGTTTTTCTTTTTCAGATTTTTTTAATAATTGACTAGTTGTTCTATTGATTAGAAATAATGCTGTATGTGTCCTTGGGTCAATTATTTAGCTCTCTTAGCTATAAAGTGCTTTTCTGTATTAAAATGTTTAGAGGTCTTTTCAATAGGCATTGTAGTTTCTTTAACAGTAACAATCAGTGAGGCCCCATCTGCACTGCCATATAAAATCCAGATTATCAGCTATGAACTTGATTATATGCACTCTATGCGGGGCTGCCTTTGAAGACAGCTCAGAAACTGCAATTGGTGCAGAGATCAGCAGCCAGGCTACTAACTGGAGCCAGTTATAGGGAGCACACGATGCCTCTACTAAAGCAAGCTCCATTGGCTACTGATAAGTTTCCAGTACCAATTTTAAAATCTGCAGGGTAGGCCCTCCTCTCTGTCATGCCACTGTCACAAGCATGGTTGGTGGGAATGAGAGAGGGGGCTTTCACGGTGGTGGCCCCATGGCTTTGGAACTCCCTCCACAGGGAGATTAGACAGGCCCCCATATTGTCTTCCTTTCATAGTGACTTGAAGACATGGCTCTTCAATCAAGCCTTGGATAATGTTTAGTCCCTAGTTGTCCTATGCAGTAGTTGCACATCCTGCACTTTATCCCATACCCTCTCTCCATTACTGCACCTGGCATTTATTTTATTCCTAATGTTTACAGCTTGGCCATGTTTACAGCAATTTGCCATCATGGTTAGAAGACTCCAGTTTGACTGAGTTTGAGTTGATTTTTTATATGTGTATTTGTTTTATTTTATTGTATTTTATATTGTGCTCACTCATATTTGTTTTTTAGGCACGTTGTGCCATCTGTAAGCCATCTCGAGTCCCTTTGGGGAGATGGCGGCAGGATAGAAGAATAAAGTAGTAGTAGTAGTAGTAGTAGTAGTAGGTGTAGTTGTTGTTTTTCTGTTATCTGGATTATTTGCTTTGATAATCTGAATTATATGGCAGTGTAGATCCAGCCTGAGTTCCTCTTTGGCTCTTAGGACCTTTTACAAGTTTAATTTAGAAAATATTGGGTTTTTTTCAATTGAGCATCTGCAATATTTGACCTGTCGTGAAAACCCAGGACTATTGCATTTAGTTTGTACAATTATTTTTCATTGTCTTTATTTGTCACCTCTCAACCCACCAGGGCCCCTGAGGCAATCCACAGTCCATAAAAACACTTTTAAAGCAGTAAGGAAACAAAAGAAAACCCCAAAGCAGCCTGAACACATCTTTTAAAATCAGACACAGTGAGAAGCAGAGCAAACACCATTCATTTTAAGAGATAAATGCCTCTTAAAAAAACTGTAGCCTATTGAAAATTCTGAAGAGTTGGAACTGGTTTGGCCTCTCATGTGAAGGAGATCCACAGTAGGACTTCTGCTGCAGAGAAGGCCCTGTCAAGGGTTTGTAGAATATGCAATGGCCGCTGATAATGATCTTTTATTCTGGGCAGGCTCATGTGGGAGAAGGGTATGAAGACGTCAATTCTTGTAAAAATACATACTGTTGTTAAATAAAAGTGCACATTCAACTGGTTCTTCCCCTCCTCTCTGGTCCTACAATACCTCTCTGGAGGAGCAGGGCATGGATTATGTCACAAAAGAGACAGATATTCAAAGCAAAGCACCAAGAGCCTGGAGAAGTAACTCTCCATTTATTTCTGCTTGGTTTTGGCATCTCCACATTTAGCTAATGCTTTCCTAGAGGGTTTCTCAACTTTCTGGAAAGGTTTCTTAGGAGCACAGAAATGCTTCAGTAGGAAGGACTTAGAAAAGAATAGGGACATGACCATGTTTTTTGAAATACCAAATCATTTAGTGGAACTGCAAATCACATCCAAAGGATCTGTCCAAACTTGGGTATTAAAATGTGAATGCTGCCCAATTTATGCAAGTGTGAAACAAAAACTCTCTGCATTGATGGGATCTGAGCTGGTTTTAATTGACCAGTGGACATAACTTCAGTGCAGTAAGAAAATTCTGGATTTTGTGTTGGAGATAATTAGAAAAAGAATAAAAAATAAGTATTCTACACATTACTTACCTTACACAAATCTATGATTTGTTCATATTAGGAGCACCCCAAATGTGTGCATCCCAAATGTGGTCGCTATACCACCAAGATATTTTAGAATTAGAAAAGATGAGAAAAAATGCTATAATACTATGACATTAAAAATGCAACATAGTGCACTGAAGTGTATTGTAGGATAAAACACTAATATTATTACTCACATCATTAATGTTTAAAGCTTTCAGCACTAAAATATTTATATGATTCAGGGTCATTTTTTCCTGTTTTGCTATAGGATGAAAATAGAGAGAATTTAACATTTAAAGATTAATTCAGAAGCTTATCATCTGATATAGGTTTCAAAAAGCATATAGAGGAAAAGTATGTTTTTGTCATGGGGACATTAGCTTGAAAGGCACTCAAGCAAATCTATGTCTTCTTTAAGACATATTTCCTTTTCCTTTGCTTTTGAAAAGTTTTGTTCAGCGACTGACATTTTAAACACTGTGGTTTGTTCAATGACACTGGAAATTGACTCATAAATTAGAAATTGACTCACTCGCCTTTTTTTTTTGTTTGAAATAAAATAGATAATATTTCTTTCAAATTACAGTAGAAATACAGATGTTTTACAAATATGAGAGAAGATGAGAGTATTAAAAGACATATTTTGAAATCTTGGGGAAAATTGTATTCTCTCCACAGGAAAAATGCTATACCACCTGGAATCCCCTTTTAAAAATCTCATTTTCTCACCTTGTTTTTGTAGTAAGATTAAATTTGTCTTTTTTATTTTAATCCAGGGCATTTGAAATGGACCAAAGCAGAGGATATTGACATAGAAACCCCAGGATCTATTCTCGTGAACACTAATCTGAGGGCTTTAATAAACAAACACACATTTCTTTCCTTACCTCAGCATTTCCAGCAATACCTCCTGCTTTTGCTTCCAGAAGTAGATAGACAGGTAAGTAAAAATATACTATCATTTCTTCCACAGTAATTCTTTTGTAATTGCTGCTTTTCTACAGCTTACACTGATGCATACTGTTTAGACAGTGACACAAGTAAGTACCTATCTTACACCATGCATCACTAACTTATGGAATCTGTTGTCAGGGGAACTTGTGATGGGTGCTAGCAAAAGTAGCTTCTGAAAAAAGGATTACACATGCATTGCAGAAGGAAAGGTGCAGCAAAGATGGATAGCCATAACAAAGAATGAAATCTTCATTTGACTCTGTTGCCTTATAGATGTTAAGCAGTGGTACAATAACAGCTGTTAGAAATTTCCATCACTGCTATAACATCTGTTTCATAATTATGGAATAATTTCCCCTCTTTCCCTTAAGGCCCACTACCCCTGTCCATTGGTGTGACTGATGGTCTGGTTGGAATTGGAGCCCCACTCCAAACTCTACTCTCCATGAGTAATAAATTGTGCCTCAAATACTTTTTGTAATCCCAAAGTATAAATTGTAGCGTTTCGGGTTACAATGCAGGATTCATTATACCCAAATTTCTCCCAAAGAGTTTTTAAGCACACACACACAAAACAAGCTAATCCTAAATGTTGTGATGGGTCTTCTTTAGCCACTTGCTAAGTTCTGCCAATTTTGTGTAGTTATGGTGGAAGATGAGGGCAATGGTTTTTTTCTTATTGTGTCCTTTTATCATTGTTGTCCCATATTCCTGTAATAACAATAGAGGAAGAGTAACTGTTAAGGACCAGCTTTCCAGACATTTCATGTTGGTAACACATTTTTTAGGCATGCATTATTTCACGACATGATAATTACTAGCAAACCAGAAGTTAAACCAATCCCTTATAAAAGGTACAGACACATACAAAAATTGTAATAACAAAATGTATGGGATACAAAATATCTCATGAAAACCTTTTATTTGTGTGTGTATGTGTGTGTGTGTGTGTGTGTGTGTGTGTGTGTGTGTGTATATATATATATATATATATATATATATATATACACGTTATTGCGTATTTCACATAGACTCGGATGTTTCTTGTTACATTCATGTGAAGTTTTTCCCATAGAGGTTACACAAGGGAGAAAAATGCTGTAGTGGATCTCTTCTCTGCAAGTAATGCAGTACTTTGACAACATAGAACAGCTCTTTAAGTGGTCTTTAGCAGAGCTCTGTGTTGTATTATAGGACTCTTCATCATCACACAACAAATGTATCTACTTGCTGTTCCCCATGTTTTGTAAATTTCTTGCTTAATGTACATATGGTTGGCAAAATAGTTCCACAAAATATCACACACTACCGTAGTACCTTAATTATTTAGAAGCTTGCTTGCTTGCTTGCTTTCTCCACTCTTTCTCACTCTTTTTCATTCTCTCTTTTCCCTCCCTCTTTTGGGATGAGTAATTTTAGATTTATCCTTCCAGAAAATTACAGATATACTTTGATCTGGACACCTATTTATATTATTAGTTGCACAAATGCTGCTCTTCTGACTTGTTTTAGCTCTGTATCATTAAGCAAGAAATTTGGTATAATGATCTGTAGGAATGTTTATCCAACCTATAAATATATAGTGAAATAGGTTTCAGGTCACAGAAACCTGAAAAAAATCCAGAGTACAAAAGGGAATAGGACAGGCCATATATTTCCTTGCACCAGGGGCTCAGTTGGGAACATCAAGAAATCATTAAAATGGCACCCCATTGTGCCTACAAATTGAAGTTCATGTTGTCTTCTTTTAAGTCTTTTCCCTTCTTTGTTTTTTGAGATGTATAAAAATCCTTTGGGTTCAGATCCACTTCAACAGCAATCTTCCTTCTATACTCTGAGGATGCTGTGCCCTACAGGAATAATTAAAATACGCATTTCTATTTAGAAAAAAATAAGATAGGTAGGGAAAACATAGAAGTGGGTCATAATATTCATGTATACTCTTTCAAAAAGAGGCACAAATATACAAAAGTCAACCTTTGCCATATTTATTACATTATATTCAGAATTAGGAAACTTTATCTTTTTGGACTACAACTCTCAGAATCTTCCAGCCATTTGGCATGCTGGATAGAGTACTCTGGGAGTTGGGGTGGAAAAAGGCAAGTTTTACGGGCTCTGCTTGTATGACTAGAAAATAATCATTATATGATATGACTTAGGAATACATGGAAAAATAGGTTTTTGTAGAATGTGTGCATCTGTATGTGACTTCAAATAACTTGTTGACTTATGGTGACCCCATAAATTACAGAGTTATCTTAACCAAGGAATATTCAGAGGTGGTGTTGCCAGATCCTTCAGCTGTAATATAGCCTACAGAACATTGTAGTTGTATTAGCAGGGCTCATCCTGTTTAGTTTCCAAGATCAGCTGGGATCTGATGCTTTACTCATGTTAAAACCTAGCAACTGATTGAATTTGTCTTCATATGGCATGTTCATCGTAAGTGCAGGGCTCATCCAAATGAGTTTGGTGCAATTTCTGTAGATGGAATATTCTTGCTGATTAAATGTCTTGGCTCTCATACTATTCTTAGCATGCTCAATAATATTAATTTCTTTCCCATTATCTTCCTAGTCATATTTCATATTTACGTGACCTACTGGTATCACAGAAAGGCTGTGCTCTAGGGTTTGTAGGACTCTCCCTAAGCAGCAAATTCCAGGATATCATAGGATTCAGCCATGGAATTGTGGTATTATAATTAGACTGTATAAGAGATTTCCAGATTTAGCTGTCTAGACTTGATGTGGACTTCCAAGAACAAGATTCAGTTGCTTATCACTGTCTTTCATGAAAAAAGAAGTTTCTTTCAGTTCTCTTTTTCATTAATTCCACCTACAGCAGACTATGATAGGTAATTAATGGTTGGAATGGAGTATAACCTTCAGCCTCAGACTTAATGGACAAGACATTTTGGAAGTGTCAGGAAATTTTGCCTGTCAAGGAATCTCAAGTGAAACAGCAAAACAGTGTGGGCTTCTTTTTAAAGAAAATGGTAGGAGAGTAGAACATTTCATACAATGTTCAATCTTCTCTGCTTTTAAATCAAAGTATCAATTCACTTAAAGTAATAGTTTGGTGGCTTGCTTTCCAAGAGCATTTGGATTACCACATGATTATAAATCAGTATAAACACCCAAGGTATATTTTTCAAGAAGCAGTGTACCTTCCATTCAAAACAAAACAAAACAAAAAAATGGAGCAGCAACATCTTAAGCTAAGCTTTTATGCTTAACTAATATTGAAAGTTCATTTTTATGTATGATGTTTTTATAAATCATTCAGTTACGGTAATATAATATTCGGTATTAAAAATGTTGGCTGCCATCCAGAATGTGACAGCAGGACTTTATTTGATACATCAGCTCCCTCCTCTGTCTGTTCTGCTCTTCCACTGAGCAAATGTTTTGGTTTTTTCCCCTGCTTTTCTGGATTGTGGCTAATACATTTTTTAAAAAATAGCTCTTTGAGCTGATCTCCTTTTGTTCTTCATGGGATAATATTGTTATGATTACTTGCAGATTTTCTTAGGCACATTCTAGTTATTTTCTTTCTAATTTCCCAACTGGACTGAAAATAGTTTCCTAGTATGGGACTCTTGGGACTGATATCTACTTTGGAGGTTGAGCTGGGTGTGTGTTGCAGTCAGTAGTGTAGAGAGAAGCCACCATCATTTGAATGGTTTTCTAGTGGTCAAAATTTAGGATGGACTGCATGATAACCTGACTGAAAGGAACCCAGGAAGCAAGAGCTAGGGGATAATCCTGCATAAGATTTTCTAGCCAACATTGACAATACAGAGCTAGAGAGTCTGATTCATTATCCAGCAGTATCATATATTCACACTCCATAAATTGGTCCTTGCTTACTGAGTTTTCCCCAGTCCTGAATGGCATCACTGAACAAGGTTTGCATCAAACGTTTGTTACCCTTTTCAAAATTATGTCTCCTAGCCATATTGGGCATTCATCTCTCTTTTGCCACATTAGTGTAGTTTGGTAATACAAGCATATCCTTAAAAAATGTGGTACATATTCACTTGAATGTCATATCAATATGTATAATATATACATTGATCATCAGTATTGATGAATTCAGCATGTTTAACCTTCTCGTACATTGATAGCCAATTTTAAACATGATCTTATTGATACAAGTACTGGCTGAGCACCACCTGAAACATCAATATTTATTTCATCTCACCTTTGTAGATCTCATGATGTCAGGTTGATTCTGCATTTTCACACATTGCAATATATTTATTTAATAGTTATAATATCATGTACATAGAAAGTGTGTTTTTTAGCATTTTTGTTCTGTTTAGCACAGCATTCATATATTTCCATCCGGACTGTTCCAGATTAGTCCCATTAAAAATCAATGGAACAAGTATGTTACATCCAGCTCAGTAAACATAATATGTGATTTCTTCCTTTTGGTTTCAACCCATCATGTTTCTTCATTGTAAACCTCACCTCTATTGATATAACAGCCTTTATGTTTTCCCAATCAAAAACATTTTTGAAGCTGTTTCATCCAGCTATTGATCATAATTTGTGCAGCATTTTTAAAATCTTCTTTGTGGATCACTGGCTATGTGTCTGTCTTGTAGGGAGAGAGTGACTTGACCAGTCATGCATTTTTTCTTTACATTTGCTAGCATTTATTAGCCTTTAGGCTCCCCAGGGTGAAATGACAAGCAGATAAAGAAGGCCTGTGGTGTAAATGGCTTAATTTGTTTTATATAATAGTCAAAAGTGTGATAGCACAAAACCAGTTCTTTTCTTGGCTCATAAGCATTTCATACATGATGAAGGCAAACTAGATGAAGGTATACTAGGTCAAACTTTGTAGTGGTAGGACTTTGGTATGACATGGAGAGCTCATATCTTGCAGGTCTGACAAATTGCCTCCCAAGAGACAATTGCCCAAACTGTGAAGTCAAGGAACAATTACTGCTCTGCATGATTTTACAGGCTG